AGTAGCTGGGACTACAGGTGCCCGCCACAACGCCCGGCTATTTTTTGGTTGCAGCCGTCATTGTTGTTTGGCGGGTCGGGGCTGGGGATTCGAACCCGCCACCTTAGGTGTACGTGGCTGGCGCCTTAGCCAGTTGAGCTATAGGCGCCGAGCCCGTTCTGAGAATTTGTATAAAGAGATAAATGAATCATCTTATGTACCATTCTTCAAATACAGGTAGTTGTCTAGTGAGCTGCTGTACCAGACAGAGGATGTCTAGGTCTTCAGAAGGAAGTACACTGAGGTAGCAGAAAGATCATGAATACTGGAGTCAAGCAGAAGGGATTTAAATCTGTTTCTGCTACTTTCTGATGCCAGAAAGTCACATAATCCCTATGAGACTTTGAATTCCCACCAGTAAAATGAAGATTACAATAACTATTTCTCAGAGTCAAGCTGAGGACTGGCGGATCGTTACACTATGTTAACTATATGACTCATCCTAAAATGGCCATAACCACTAACACTTATTAAGTGAGTACAATATATAATGTGCCAGAACTTTTTTCTTGCTGTCCATCAAAGGAAATAAAACCTTCATAACCCAGTGGCAATTTGCTTTAAAGGAGGAAATTGGAAAGTTAAAACTACTCTGTGAATGAACTTCCCTCATAATATCAAACATTTAGGCTACAGACCTTGAGGATATTTTAAAAATCCATTAATGTGAAAGTCTTTTTTCGTACTGTGTTGATTAACACAGGGAATCAAAGTGTATCTTAAGTACTACATGAGATTTTTTTCCCTTAAGAAAATTATGGGAATCTATAATATTTAGAGTAAAAAAATGTTTTTCTCTAATGGCATGTGATGAATTGACAAGAAGCTTCTGGAGGTGGGTAGACAGAAAGAAAAAAAATTCTTCATCAGAAATTATTTAGAAGAAAATACACACCTGGAGATTAAATCACACTGGGTTGCAAATCACAAGGCAAAACATATTTCATTTCTGAAAGTTTTTGATAAGGAAGTTTGGCAGAATTATCTGGTAGAGTTTCATGATTACTCTATTTTACTTTTTTATTTGAGTGCTGTGACATCACAGCTCCCAGCAACCTCCAACTCCTGGCTCAAGCAATTCTCTTGCTTCCTCCTCCCACGTAGCTGGGACTACAGATGCCCGCCACAATGCCCAGCTGTTTTTTGGTTGCAGCCCTCATTGTTGTTTGGTGGCCCGGGCTGGATTTGAACTCGCCAGCTCAGGTGTATGTGACTGGTGCCTTAGCCGCTTGAGCCACAGGTGCCAAGCCTGATTAACTCTGTTTAAAATTTCAGCTAAAGATGCTCAATAGTTTGCTTTTAGTTTTTATTGAAAGGTTAATTTTATACCTACAGAAGAATAAACTTCCTATTATCCTTAACCAGATGTTAAATATGATTATGACATCATCTTTGCCCAAGACTATATGATAGATAGTCAATTTTACTCATAATCTATTTTAGAAAGTTTTATATCAGTTGTGACACCTTTCTTTTAATGATAATACTTTCATATGAGCAATAGCTTGGACTCTTTATATTCTGAATCTGCCAAAGTGAAACATTTCTTTTCATGAATGTGGTTCTCTGTTCCTGGTATTATGAGTTGTGTTCAATGCCTGTTTTAATAATACATTATCAGAGACCAGTGAACCTTGGTGAAGGAGGATGCAAACAGAGAAAGAAATCCTGTGAGGTTGAAAGTGGTGGGGATAGCCCATGGGTGATTTACTCATCATAATTTTTCGTTCTTGATTATTAGCAACCCAAATGTCCTATACGCATGTTGGTGAACCAACCATTGTATGGTGGTTTTTTACTAAATGTTGGAGGTAAGGTATTTGCCCTGAAATTTATAGTTCAGGCAGAAAATGATTGAGGGATAAAACTGTTGTACAGGTTATCTATCAACATAAGTATGCTGTGTGATAAAACTCACAAAAAATTAAAGCCGTCCAACAACATACGTTTATTTAGCTCATGAGCCCAAGAATTGGCTGGACCCCTTATCCTTCTGGCCTTGGCTAGGCTTGCTCAAAATTCTGAAAGTTGGGTGGCTTTCAGCTGGTCCATCAGTCAAAGCACATCACATGGCTGAGCCCCAAGTCAGAATGGGGCGATGATAAGGTCTCCTGGCAAAGAGCATGAAGATGGGAAGGATAAAGAATTTGGGTCTGTCTGTTTATTATGCAGTCAACATGCCACAGCCATTTTTCTTCTAAGAGATTATTTGGGGTACCACATACTGAAATTATAGCAAAGTGATTTAAAAAAACATGGGCAATAGCATCAACAGATGCTACCACTACTATCTCTGTAACCTTGGGCAAGTTAGTACCACTGGACCTAGTTTCTGCATCTGTAAAATAGGGACAGTAATAGCACATATATCAAAGACTAAAGATCCAGTGAGATGATGTGTGTAAATAGCACTACTGTAATATATACCAGACACTATTCTAAGGGCTCTATATATTTTAGCTAATTCAATGTTCACAACTTTATATGGAAGATACTGTTATAATGTCGTATGTAGTATGTAGTTTGCAGATAAAGGATCTGAAGCCCAGAGAGGTTATAGAATCTTCCAGTGAGTTACACCAGTAAGTGACAGAACTGAGTTGTGCAATCTAGATAGACTGGTTTCAGAGTCTGCACCATGAACCATTATCTAATACTAATTTGAGCACGATACCTGGTAAAAAATGTGTGCAGCACATGTAGAATAATTAATTAATATTATGAAGCTATTGATAATGCTTGTTATTTGACTCATGGCACCTGGTTTAAAGTGGTGCAGGACTTTCTCTAAATCTATCTGCCATTATGTTGAGTTGAAGTCTTCAAACTCATCTCACTGTCCAAAAGGATTCAGACTGATCCTTTGAGAAATTATGATACTATTTAGAAAGCAAATGTTAAGTTTCTTAGGGTGATGTGTCTGCTTGACAAGGATGAACATTATAAAATGATATTTGGCAGCTTTCTACAAAGTTGGAAGAGTGATGGCCATTGATGAAGACCAACCGCCAAACTGTGTGACATACAAAATAACCAAGGGAGACATTGAGGCTATACAAAGATTCTGGATTCACCCTCTCTCTGGAATGATTGAACTTACCACACAGCCAGACTATGAGTCTGTGAGGCAATACAACCTCACTGTGGAAGCTGTGGACTGTGACAGATTTCATCCTCGAACAGCAATGACTATGGTGAGTAGAGAGACTCAAGCTTTGATGTTATAGAGACGATCTACAAATTCTAATTTATTACACGTGGACTGATCAAACAGTAACTCCAATAGAGAATGAAGAAACAAATATTTTTCTTCTATGTCTCAAATGTTCCATAACGTTCTATATGAGCTAAATTTTGAGACTTGTTTGAAAATGAAGACCCTGCTAACTCCTCTCATTCTCATGAGATTAAGCAACTTATAATGGTATCAATTATCCAACTTACCATGTTCCAATTCCTATTGTAAACATATATTTATTGACACAGGCAATCCTCCCCTTGAACTTTCTAGGTAGGCAGTATTATACTATAATCACTTCACTCTACAGGGGAGAAAACTGAGGCACAGAGCTTAGAAAACGTCCCTAAGTTTATTAATAAGGTTTTTAGAACTGGACTCAGACACAGGCTGCCTCTCACTGAGAGGTGATGTTTACAATCAAGATGGTTAACTGAGGTATGTTACATCCTTTTGGCCTCAAAGTTGGGGAAAGTATGACTCTCTCAATCATGTTAGCAATCTAACTCTTGAAAGACACCAAGAGTGAATATTATTATATTTCTGATGTGCTGTGTATTACTAATGACGATAAGGTTTTGTCATTGGAGAAAAAACAGAAGTAGGCTTGAAGAAACTATAAAGTTCCCATCTGGCCTGATGATTCACTGTACATTTCCTCCTATTGCACAAAGTCCTCTGACTTGCTGCTGATGTGGTTATTAGATTTTCTGAGTTCTCATTGTGAGGAAAACATCAGCCTCATTCACATAAACAATTAGAGTGACATTTGTAGAGACTGTCAGGAGGATGAGATTATGTGACTTGGTTGTCTCAGGATGACACTTATGACAGTGATCTTTAGACCTGGGTATTTGTGGCAGTTTTCCTGTAGACATTTATGAATCCCCCAAACAGTATAGGATGACAGCATTTGCAATTATCATTCACTCATTACAAATGAGAAGAGAGGAAAGCAGAATTAATAACAATAAAACATCAAGAGACTCTGTTCTTTTTGAGACTTTTTGGGTTTTTTTTTATATAGAGCCTCAAGCTGTCACCCTGGGTAGAGTGATCTGGCACCACAGCTTACAGCAACCTCCAACTCCTGGACATAAGCGATTCTCTTGCCTCAGCCTCCCAAGTAGCTGGGACTATAGGCACTTGCCACAACACCTGGTTAATTTTTTTTTTTTTTTTTTTTTGGTTGTCGTTGTCATTGTTGTTTGGCCCAGGTTGGATTCGAACCCGCCAGCTCTGGTGTATGTGGCTGGCCGCCTTAGCTGCTTAAGCTATAGGTGTCGAACCTGGTGACTCTATTCTTATAAAAAGAATTTATGTGTTGCTTGAAAATAAAGCAAGACTTGTCCATTCTATTTTTTTCTTTTCTTTTTTTTTTTTTTGCAGTTTTTGGCTGGGGCTGTGTTTGAACCCGCCACCTCTGGTATATGGGGCCAGCGCCCTACTCCTTTGACACAGGTGCTGCCTGTTCATTCTGTCTTTTAATACTTATTTATTGAATGCTTGCTCTTTGTACAACGTCCTAGATTACAAAGAAGTGTGTGATGCCACACTTCAGGGAATTTAACAATTTTCACAGGTGGAAAGTTAGGTAGTGCATAGCAAGTGCCAAATTGATGGGTACATATCAATTTCACCTTCAGGTTCATAAAAGAGAGATAAGTCTTTAGACTTTAAAGTTTAGGAAGCCATCACTGTCATCATCATCATCATTCACTCTTTATTGAGAACCTAATAAAGGTACTACAATAAACCCTTACTTACCTAGTTCTCATCCCATCTTATGAGGTAGTTACTGATATTCCATTTTATAGATAGAAGAATTGTATTTCCAAGGCTTCCATGTTAAGTAATTTTTTCAGGGTTACCTAGGATTAAGTCTGGGCACTTTATCACTATAATGTACCCTAATTATCTCTCCAATCCAGCTACAATTTCTCTCATATCTGCTTTGAAAATATACCCTGAGTCCTTCTGCTTCTCATCCACCTACTGCAAATACCCTGGCCATGCCATCTTTGTCCCTTCCCAGGCTAGTATGGCAGCCTCTTACTAGAATCCCTGTTTCTACTGTGTACTTCCCAGCCTGCTCTTCACACAGGGGCCAGAGTGATCTGTGAAAAAGGCAAATCATCCTCTTCCTTCAGGTTCTTCATGGCTTCCCATCATGCTTAGCTAAGCCCAAATGCCATTTCTGAAGTCTACAAGGTCTGGTATGATCTGAGCCTTGGCTTTCTCTTTGTCTTTAGCTCCTGGCTCCCTCCCTCTTATTTACTCCAACCCTGCCACATGAACTTCTTGCTGTTTCTCCAACATACCAAGCATGTTCATATCTCAGAAACTTTGCCCAAGACTGTCTTGCTTATTCTTCCTTGGTTCACTTTCGCTTCAATCATCTCTCTGCCCAAATGAAACATGTTCATAAAGGCCTCTTACACTGTGTGTGATGGGGAGAATTTGAAGCAAGCCATGTGTGCTCATCATTAGGGAAGTGAATAAGTGAGCTGTGGTAGATGCATGCTATGGGAAATGAAGAATTAAGAAGAAGAAAACTGGCTCTATCAACAGCAGCATGGAAGGAACATAAATGGCTGTGTGTGAGGAAAGTAGGAAACAGGAAAGATCTATGGCAAAATATCACTTATGCGAATCAAAATGACACAACTGAACACTACACATTCTGTGAGGATATACACTGCCTTACAGGCATGTATCAAATATAGGGAGGAGAGAAAGGAACTAGGAGAGTGGGCAAAAAAGGCCTTTACTAAACACTCTCTTAGAATAGATCCATCACTTGTTATCTAGTCCCTTAACCTGTGTAGCATCACTTACTATATGGCACTGATATATTTATTTGTAAATGTATTTACTACTTTATCTCCTCCACTAGAATATAAATTGTAATAGGTCAGGATCTTTGTTTGGTTTACCACTATAGCTTCTATATGTAGATCAGTGCTTGGTATATAGTAAAAAATTCTTTTTTGAGACAGAGTCTTACTTTATTACACTCAGTAGAGTGATGTTCTGTCCTAGCTCACAGCAACCTCAAACTCTTGGGCTCAAGTGATTTTGTTGCCTCAGTCTCCCGGAGAAGCTGGTGTTATAGGCATCTGCCACAATGCCTGGCTATTTTTTTTTTTTTTTTAGAGACAGGTCTTGCTCTGGCTCAGTCTGGTCTTGAACTCCTGAGCTCAGGCAATCCACCTGCCTTAGCCTCCCAGAGTGCTAGGATTACAGGGGTAAGCTACCATACTGGGCCTAATAAATATTCAATAAATATTCATTGAAAGGATGAATTTATCCTTTGAATAGTTGTAGGAAGGTAAGAACTAAGATAGTCTTTTTGCAGATGAGGAAAGCACTTGTACCAAAGGAACTAGCAAGTGACAGGCCTATTGGTTTTAATAAAGATTTCTGATTCTGACTGGATGTGGTGTCTCGCGCCTGTAATCCTAATACTTCCGGAGGCTGAGATAAGAGGATTGCTTGAGGCCAGGAATTTAAGACCAGCCTGGGCAATGCAGAGACCTTGACTCTACAAAAAAATAATAATAATAAACTAGTCGGTCTTGGTGGTGCATCCCTGTAGTTCTAGCTACTTGGGAGGCTTAGGTCTGGGAATCTTAAGCCCAGGAGTTCAAAGTTACAGTGAGCTATGATCATGCCTCTGAAGATTTCCATTTCCAAGTCCATTGCTTTTTCCTTTACATCACAGAAGTCTCCTTGAAATTTATTTGCTTACTACATAAAAAAATCTCACATATCAAATGATGCATACAGCTATCTAGCTATTTATATTCAATCCTATAGAAGTAGCATTAAAAAATAAACTATTCGGCTTGGCACCTGTGGCTCAAGCGGCTAAGGCGCCAGCCACATACACCTAAGGTGGCGGGTTCGAATCCCCAGCCTGGACCCGCCAAACAACAATGATGGCTGCAACCAAAAAATGGCCAGGTGTTGTGGCGGGCGCCTGTAGTCCCAGCTACTTGGGAGGCTGAGGCAGGAGACTCGCTTGAGCTCAGGAGTTGGAGGTTGCTGTGAGCTGTGATGCCCTAGCACTCTACCCAGGGGGATAGCTTGAGGCTCCGTCTCAAAAAAAAAACCAAACTATTCCCCAATAAATTAGCTGTGTTGTTCAACATTACAGAAAACATTTAAAAAAGATAATATATGCAAATGTGGGCACACCAGGGGGTTTTTCGTGAATGCTATTGAGAAAGTTATTACTCATCAGAAAGGGAGGCAGATAACCTTTCTAGACCAACTAGCATTTGATCACTGACATTTAAAATTCTTGATATTTTGATCTTTTCCCATATAAACCATAGTTTTCTGGTTTATGATATTTTGATTAAGAAAAGGTTGATAACATCCCCTAATTAAAGTCAGAGCATACTTTGAAATAATTGTATTGTTACCAAAAAATATATTGTGCTTGAGAAAATAGTGCAGAGGAGGCCATTAGGCTGAAAAAGAGGAAGCACATTCAGGATATGTTTGCCATGAAGCATAGATATTCAGAAGGCTCAAGGCATTATAGTTTTTAGAGGCATTATTCTTCAGATTTCCTTTTCTTATCATTTATATAATCTCTGAGCTTTCCACAAGCTCTTCTAATAAGCCCAAAGCTCTCCCTAATGGCTACATTGAATGTCACAGTTGACCCACGAATTATTAGCCACTGACTAGTTGATTGACAGCCAGAACCCAAATCTGCAAAAACATTTCTTCAAACTCAAAATTCTAGGTTTTTAATTTAATAATTCCAACTGATCTGTCTCTACCTAGATGCTTACTTCTGATTTTGTATATAAATAGTCACATGACGTGGGAGTGATGTTTCTTCTCTCATGGCTGACAGGTCACCATTGACATTGAAGACGAGAATGATGAAGCACCAGTCTGCATACCCTCCCTGTATAAAGCAATCATTTTTGACAATGTTGTTGCTGGGACAAACATCAATGGCTTCAAACTCAACTGCCAAGACAGAGATTCACAAGATTTCGAAATGCGCTTTGAGATGGTTTCTGGTGGATGATTTCATTATTTCTTTTAATCATGAGCATGTGTCAAATTGACATTAGTTATACCCTGTTAGACATAATATATAACCTTAGAAATAACTATGCTTATAAAGGTTAACATATTTAATATCTATGACTTCTTTTCCTCAAGGCATCCATTTTACTTCCACATATCCAATTTAATTCCTCCTATAATAGAAATATCAGTGATGTCACAGGTGCTTTGACAAAGAGACTTTGGGCCTACAGGGGAAATCCTGAAGGTTAAATTACTTGGGACCAAGTCTGCTGTCCATGGTGTTGGACAACAGCAGCCACTCTTTCATCTCTTGCTATTAATACAGATCCACTAGGATACATACAGTAGAACCCCTGTAAGTTGACCACTCAAGGGTCTGTAACATACTGGTCACCATACAGAGGTGGTCAACATAAGGAACTAGGTTTACTGTACTGATACATGTATGTGGTGGTTGTCTGCTCTATGAAAATTAGATCAACTCAAGGAGGTGGTCAATGTAGGGAAGTGGTCAGCTAAGGAGTTTCTACTGTATTTTCAGCTGTATTATTGTCGAGTTTACACAGATCCATATTAACTTTAGTCACCATCTTGTCCACTATAGAAGGCATTTGTTGGAGACCAACTTTGTATCAGGCACTGGGCTAGGAAATGGGGGCACAGACTATATAAGACAGATAGAGACCTTATATTCTTGGCACTCATTGTTTACCAGACTAGTAGTAATGTCAACAATTATAAAATTATAAACTGTGATATTTCTATAAAGGGAAACTACTGGGTATCATGAGATAGCATAACAAGGAGAGCTATTTAAAGTATGGAGGTCAGACCTGCTGTCATATATCTGAAAGAATATAAGCATAGAAATCAATAAAAACATTACCAATTAAAGATTATCTTGATGTCCTCTACCCTTGGTAGACAATAAACTCCATGAAGTTATGGGCCATGTGCATCTTGTTTACAGTAGTGTCTCCAGGGCCATAGGACTTAAACTTAGTAGGAGCTCAATAGATGTTGTAGTCTGACTGACTCATTTGATATTGATCTTGACTAAGTTGACAGAGAAATCGAATTACTTTGAGTGAAAGACAAAGGAAGAAGTAATTAGAATAATTGGATAATAGTGTGAAGCTGGATAGCCTCATAGGGGAATCAGACTCATGATCTTAAACTTTAAAACAGCTTTTTCCCTAACCAACAAAATTTCTTGCTTATTTGATCTTAGTTCACTATAAGCCATGTATAGATATAGGAATTTAGAGTACCGTGGAAACTTTTTTACATCTACTGTGTTTTAATAGCAATTCAAGGTAGCTTGAGAAAACCTTTCAATGTATTTTAAAATGGCTCTAATTCTTCAATTATCTCTTTTGAAGGAAATGAGAATCATCATTTTGGATTTGACCCAACCCGAGGTTCAAATACTCCAAACTTAATTGTGAAGAATCCTTTTAACTTTGATCCCAGAGTTGAGTTGCAGCGGCAGTACCATCTTGTGGTGCATGTTATCGATGACAACTTGAGATACAGAAGATCTACTAAGCCTCAGACAGGCACTGCTATTATAGATATTTATGTGACAAGAGCCAATATACCAACTCCTCCAACCACCAGTTCTGAAGTAAAGAGTTAAAGAATTTAATTTGGGTCTGCATGTGGGAAATATTCTACTGTAAATTCAAATTTCATCTAGAAAGGCTAAAAGGCTACTCAGGGCAGCACCTTCAACTATATGCCTTTCCAGCTGGGTATGATCCCACCCAGCCTTTGGACCACATTTTAGAGTGTGCATCTCTGAGTATAAACTGTGTGGGTGAGAGAGAGTTCGTGAGAACTGCAAGGCAACTACTTAGATCTGAATGACCTGAAACCTCTGCCCACCTAAAAGGCCCATGTTCAATGAATTTTATCAATTAAAAATCTGTATAAATGGCCACTTTTAAAGATTTCCCCCCAATGCCCAGGCTTTTCATAGTAATGAGCATCTGCTATGTGCCAGACACCAATCTGCTGTCGAGTCACCCAACCTTCAACCCAATCTATGAAGTTTAGCAGACTCTAGTATTTTATTATTTTAAAAATAGATGTGCAAAGCCTGTGCAGAATTCTAGGATGGCTTCTGAATAACCCATGGATAAAATCTGTTCAGGAGACTTTATGGTTAGTGTATTTTGTTGTCTTCTATCTTTGAAATAGAAGCATTAAACAATGGATTTTACAGATTAGAAGAATGAGGGCAAAGAGGAGAAATGGTTTGCTTAAGATCACAGAGAAGTCACTGCGCATAATTCAAATCTTCACATTCTTAATTCCATGCCTTCTCTATGCTATGGTGTTCCTCAGTGTTACCTGTGGTGTTAAAATACATAGGCCTGAGTTGATACCCAACTGCCTGTAAGGGACCTCAGCTCTGTGCTGATCCTACTATGTGTAAACAGATGCTCTCTGAAAACATAAACTAATACTCTATTGCCTTAAAATATTATTTCCCAGCACAGAAATGGTCTGACTATCGTGTACATAGCTATCAACACATACAAATCCAGTGACTGGTACATTCCTTTTATCTTCACTCTGATGGCTATTTTCTTTGTTGGGTTGGTTTCCTGGGTATGTTTCCTGCTTTGGAAATATGGAAACATTATGGAATGCTGTCAGAAAGTGACCAAGGAAGTCTCCACGCCCAGACCTAAGTATGTGATTTCTCTTTCTGAATTTCTGATGTAAAGAGTTAAAATTAACTGGGGTGTATAATCTTACTCTGAGGCTTGTGCCTGTTTGTTTTTGAGGGGCACAGAGGAAAATACTTGGGATACAGAACTGTATGTTCCCTTTCACCAGTGATCCCAACTCTACTCTGGCTCAAAAACAGATGGGAGCTTTCTTTAAATGGCAGCAACAGGATATTACTGGATTCTACCTTAGAACATCTGAAATAGATTTTATGTGAGAATATGTTTGAAACAAATAAATTTGTGAGCCAACAAGAAAACAACTCCTCATATTCTTTTGATGCAAGCAGTTTTGTAAACAAGTGTCGATAACTACTTGGAACTAGTCTAGGAATTGGAAATACATCTGACTTGTTTTGAATCCATTTGGAGCTAAAAGTCACAGAAATGAGTAGAAAATGTGGGTGCTCACATCACCATTCAAAAATAGTTCATCATAATGCAGAATATCATGACTTCAAAGATAGAATTGGACATGAATTTTCATTAACTAGAAGTTTACTTATGGGGCAGTGAGGGGGTGGTGATAGTTAATGAAGACCATTTTATTATTCCTCATACAATAGTTCTTTTTTCCTGGGGTAGAGAAAATGTGATAATAGTTATGTGCTGTCTATTGAATGAATTATTTTCTGCCATGTGTTAGCATAATACAGCTGATAGTTTGTCCAATTTTCTTTTCATACAGAGGAATGAAGTACATTGCAGGTAAGATACAGATTGCTAATGTCACGTGATAATGCTTGAATTGTGAGATTTTTAAAATGCCACTCATCAGATACTTGCCTTTTATTTATTTATTTTTGAACAGGAGATAAGAATCAAGAGGAAAAGATTGTCAAAGGAAAAAGGAAGAAAAAATTAGAAGTATTAACTGTAAGTACATTTTTGTGATCCCTCTATAGTAAAAGAAAACTACACTTCCCTATAACTGTTCCTCAGTGAAAAGTTCTTCTGCAGTAAGTCTACTCAAGCATCATAGAAAGGAAACAAAATAACTCCAATTTATGTCCTTCTGCTGAATTATATGCATTATAAAATGGGAATTTCTGATCTAGTTTTAGAATTTGGCTTAGGTCAAAATTTTCTTGAGGTTATTACATATGCATCCAGCAAAAACAACCCTGGACAAATGGAAATTCAGAATTGTTCATCATTAATTAGAAATACTGATACGTGGGAATAGATTATACATGTGATAGATTTGAATAGTTCTTCAACCTTGGCATTTCCTAGCAGATGTTAAAATCTACACTCCAGAGTTTATAAAGCATCTTGAAATTGGCTGAGACTCATTCTATGAATAATCCATATAAACAAGTGTATAAGGGTAAGGCTGATTCTAGAAAAAAAAGAAATGTAGAATGGAACAAGAAATAGCATTTTTAGTCTTCACTTATCCTTTTTTCTTTCTACTTACCTCCCATCTACCTGAGTTTTAACCGTGAGCACATTTTTCTATGAGCTGCTTCTCTGTCAGTGTTTCCTTCCCTGTCTCTTCCTTTCGGAAATTGCTAGGGCTGCCGTAACATAATACCAAGACTGAGTGACTTAAACAGCACTAATTTATTTCTCATAGTCCTGGGGGCTGGAAGTCCAAGTTCAAGGTGTCAGCAGGTTGAGTTTCTTCTGAGGCCTCCCTCCTTGGGTTGCAAATGACTAACCTCTCATTATGTCCTCACATGATCATCCCTTGGTCTGTGCTATGGCCTAATTGCCTCTTCTTTTGAGGAAACCAGTCATATTCCATTAAGGCCCACCTGCATAACCTCATTTTGCCTTAATCACCTCTTTATAAGTATCTCTAAATACGGTTGCATTCTGAGGTTAGGACTTCACAATATGTGAATTTGGAGGTGGGTGGCACAATTCAGCCTATTACACTTCCCATACAAAATAAAGGGCTTCACATGAGTAAAAAGATCTGAGTTAACATAGGGCATGGCAGGCACACTAAGTGGGGGATGGTATTAGGAGGAGATAAAATTATCAGGAAGATTTTGGTCCCTAGGCTGCTAGTTCTAGATTAGAAAGATGAGGTAGGGTGGCATCTTTGGCTCAGTGGGTAGGGCACTGGCCCCATATACCGAGGGTGGTGGGTTCAAACCCAGCCCTGGCCAAACTGCAACAAAAAAATAGCTGGGTGTTGTGGCCGGTGCCCATAGTCCCAGCTACACAGGAGGCTGAGGCAAGAGAATCACCTAAGCCCAAGAGCTGGAGGTTACTGTGAGCTGTGATGCCATGGCGACACTCTGCCGAGGGTGACAAAGAGAGACTCTGTCTCTAAAAAAAAAAATAGAAAGATGAGGTAACATAGGAAGTCGTCTGCCCAGAGTATTCAGCACTTGTGAAAACTGATTTTATCAAGATGACAACATTGCTTACATTTTGTGCTTTTTAAAAGGAAACTATTGTGTATGAGACCATGTTTGATGGAGAAGCCATTGATCCAGGTATGGTGCTTAAATGTCTTTTGGAGTTAAGTTTCTTTTGCCTATTTGGGTACTAAGCCATATGAATGAATTACTTATACATTTGCAAAGTGTGAGTTTCCTAAAGCAAGCCATTTTAGGGCTAGGTAAAATAAATGACTGAAAGGGAGCAGATAAAACAGTAAATTCAATCATCAATGACAACAGATGCTTGGGGAACCTGGCCATTACTCAGCTGCATCAAATTTCCACCACGTGGGAATAAGGCTTGGTGCTGCCATGATTCTGATGTTTCAAAAGAAACTGGAAATCTAAATTGTTTTATATCTGCCCACTTTCAAATGTAGGTAACTAATTCAATTAAACTTACATCCTATAGGTCAAATAGAACACATTTCCCCCCGGTTTTCCATTGTTGTATAACAAACTACTCCACGAGCACTAGCTTCAAACAACCTGCGTTTTTTATATCACACACTTTTGTGTGTCACATATTTAAGTGGGTGTCACCTGAGGAATTCTTTTGATTTATGTGGTTTTAAAAGTGTCAGTTCAGGGTGGTGCTTGTGACTCAAAGGAGTAGGGCACTGGCCCCATATGCTGGAGGTGGCGGGTTCAAACCCAGCCCCAGCCAAAAACTGCAAATAAATTAATAAGTAAATAAATAAAACAAAAGTGTCTGTTTAGTGGTATTAAAAGTGTCACTTCAGTGCTATTCAGCTGGCAGCTGGTCAGTTTTGTGCACCCAAAGTGGCTTCATGCATAAACCTGACACTGGCAGTTTGGGCTCAGCTGGGTCCCACATACTTTCTGTGTAATCTCAGGACCTCTTCATGTAGTCTCTCCAGTGGGGACAGTCAGGCATCCTACATGGCAGTTTAGACCTCTTGGACAGAGAGCCAAGAGCCAGGGGAATTTCCAGTTTTTTGAGGCCATGGCCCGTTAAGTGACATAGCATCACTTTCACTGCATTCTATTGATTACATCAGTCAGAGTCTTCCCAGATTCCAAGAGAGAAGCATTCTCAAGGGATGAAGGCCAAGAAATTTGTGGCCATCTTTAATCAGCTGTATGTACCGGCCAGATGAGTTATGGGCTTGCAATTCCTGGTCTAAATATTTATCTGTTGTGAATTACAGAGCAGATCAAACCTCCATTCTATAAACCATTTTGAAGCTTTTTTTTTTTTTTTTTCTGTGTGTTCCTTCCCTGAAGGAAGAAGCAGGAATAAGAAGGCATCAGAGGTATTGGAAAAGCCCTGGGTGTGGAGTTAGAAGACTAGGGTTTGAGTGTTAACACAGTCATTAACTCTCTACGTAAACTTGGACAAAGCATTTAACCTCCCTGAGTCTCTTTTTTCCAAGCTCCAATATTATGGGCTCTTTGATGGGGATGATTGTGAAATTTAAACATGAACATAATAAATGTAAAAATCATTTTGTAAAGTGTCACTCAACATGAGGTATTAGCCACAAAAGACTCCTTGGCACTGTAACAGCTTGAGATACTTTGTTGCAAGTTAAATCTTGACAGCTGTGGATATCTTGGCATGAAATTATTGATGCTTTATTACTGACTGTGAAGTTCTCCCTAAAGAAAGTCACTGATTTAAAAAATATTTTATTAAGTTAGTTTTAGCTGTAGGTGTTGGGACACATGACCGTTTGTCCTATGGAAATAAGAATGGGATACATAAGGCACTGTTTTGTTCGTGGAGCCCAACTTAAAGAAATGGGACATGGCCTCCTACCTAAAGTGCTATAGCCAGACTGCCTAGGTTCAAATCTAGGTCCACCTCTCATAGATGGCGTAGCACTGGGCAAGTTACTAGCAGCACTGTGCTCCAGCCTTCTAATTTCTGAATGTGGCTAATAGTGTTTACATACTTTACAAAGATGTTGAGTGGATCAAAAAATTAATACACGAAAGCAGAGTTTCACAGAGAGTAAATACTATGGGATCAGCTGTTGTTGTTATCAATCTTTTTACTGATTAATTACGTCTTAGTCAGTGAAGAAACAATAGGTTGACTTCCTATTATATCAGACCCCTGTACTTGTTTCTTTTCTTTTGCATATGACTCTTACTGCATTTACTGCACTGTTTTTTCTTTTCTTTTCTATTTTTTTTTTTTTTTTTTGAGACAGAGTCTCACTTTGTCACCCTGAGTAGCGTGGCATGGAATCATAGCTCACAGCAAACTCAAATTCTGGGGCTCAAGTGATTTTCTTGCATCAGCCGCCAGAGGAGCTGGGACTAGAGGTGCTACCACACAGTACCTGGCTATTTTTAGATATGGGGGTCTCCCTCTTGCTTAGGCTGGTCTCGAACCTGTGAGTTCAGGCCATCCACCCACCTTGGCCTCCTAGAGTGCTCTGATTACAGGCATGAGCCCCTGTGCTCACCAGTGCTCACCCCTGCATTGCTCTTTCTGTGAAGGGTTGTCTGATGAAACCTCAGACCCTGTACATGGCCGATCAAATTGGAAACAATTTTTTAAAGAAAACAAACACAGTTTGACATGTTCCTTTTTAAAACTTTTGCTTTTAAAATAATTGCAGACTCACAAGAAATTGCAAAAAATTTCCTTTTCCCCCAAAGGTAACATCTTTCACAACTATAGTACATTGCCAAAATCAGGAACGGTCCAATGCAATTCCTATGATACAATGTGTACAATTCCAAGACCATATTCCTAGGCCACCTGTGGTTTAGGGATTCCTATAATTCCTGTGGTATAGAAATTTCTAGACCATAAACTTTGCTCAGATTTCCCAGTTAGTACATGCAATTTTTTTTTTCTTTTTTATGTCTAAATACTTTTGGGCTGAGTAAAGGCTTTGCAAATTCATTCACTTTCTCTGTGTTTTATGCCTTCCTTCCCACAGTCTCCGGGAATGTGTATGAATATAACAGCAGGACAGGAGCAAGAAAGTGGAAGAAGTCCCCCAGGCACCGGGAGGAGTCCGTGGCAGGCATATACTCCCTCCCAGAGGCATACTCTTCAGAGGAATCCACATCTTTAAACATTCCTTTGCAAGGCTAGCATTTTCCAATATCCCGGAATGATTGCTTTTTCATGTATGTGACTGTCAGAGGCAGTTTTTCTTTGCTATCTAAAATTAAACTATGCATGTGAGTCTAGCTGCTCACCTGTTTGTGTATCTTTGTGTGATTTTCCAGTTTAAGGTGGCCGGGGGAGGGCAGTAGGAGTGGTTAGCTTTAAGTCTCTGAATATGTTTTGCTGAAAACTAGATACAAAGTTGATATATGTCCATTGTCTTCCTTTGCCCAGTAGAATGTCTGCTTCTTTTGATCAGAGACTTTGTTTCACTCACTGTTAACAGTACCAGCGCTTGGTTTGCTCTGAGCAGAGACTCTGTATGCATTTGGTGAATAAATGAATTTGAATATATGGATTCAGGTATCTTGCCTTTAATTTAAATTTCTTATTCTCTTGTGACCCATGGAATGGAAATAGGAATTAACTTTAGAAAAGAACTTTTTTTAGGTATCTGGTAGTCATAAAAAATGCAGGATTTTTTTCAGTATTTTTCAAAAGCACAATTGATCTTGCTATTCATTGTCTTTTTATAGCCCTATAGAGAAAGACCATCTGAAAACTTTACTTATTAATGGCTTGCCACAGCAATGTCAAGTTCAAGTCTTATGAGAACTAGGTACTTAGACAAATAAGTATTAAATACGTATAAACTCTTTGATTATCTCTCTCCTTGGATATCAAAAGATTCATTATAGCAAAAGACCAGAAGTGCTGTTGATGGTAGAGGCTACATCCACATTTAGTCCAATACGGAGTTCAGTCTGGGATTCTTTTTAAAAATTAATCTTATCCAAAGTAAAACATTCCATGTGCAACAAACTAATATTCAAACCAGAGGATATTAGGGGCTTAAATAATAAAAATGTCTTGATATTCATACCCCTTTGCATGTGTACATAGAGACAATTGCTTTTCAACCCAAAGGGGGAACCTCATCTCCCAACAAGAAAGATCTTCTGAAAATAAACAGACTTATTTTTTATTTATGTCTGCCTCAAATGGGTCAATTCTCAGAAGGCATATGGTGTCTGGGGCTTGGGAAAAATCATGTAGCTCCTTTAAAATTTGTTTTTTTCTTCTTCTAGAAAATGTGTATAAGAACGCCTGCCCCTTTTTCTCTCTCTAGTTTCATTGTGAGAAACAACATAAAGCAATTGAGATTCTCTACTTGGGAGTGCTATTTAAACCGTAAGCACTATTTAAACATAAAATAGGATTCATTTCATTAAGTCAAAATTAGTTGCTGAGAGAGCAGTGGTTCAGGACATGGGCATACAGAGGGGCCACTCCATGGTTCTGGGGTAATCTAAGTTGGAATTGGTTGGTAATTAGCTGCACAACTTCCATGAAAGGATTCTACTGCCTTTTTCCAGATGGCATGATAATTCTACACCAGGGGAGAGGCCAAAGATTGTCTGAGAAATGTTCTCCTCTCTCCAGCAAGGCTCTCTCTGGATCAATTATGATTTGATAGATTTAGATGTGTGAGTTTCCATCTGCCACCACCTGGGCTTTTAAGGAGAAAAAAAAAGCATTTATAAACTTTCTTTTCAAAGTTGGATTGGATCGATTTGTATTTCATCTGCCAGTGCCAAAACCAAGAAAAATTGTTAAGTTGGTGTTTGTTTTCCCTTGTTTAGCTGGTTTGGGTCTCGGTTTCAGACATGGCCAAGACAGAATGTATGAACTTGAGACAATAGTAAGGGAGGTAATGGAGAGGGGGCTAAAGAAGGCTGCTCTTGGGACAGGACTCTATAATTCAACCCTTCTTTTGTGTCATAATCAATTTACCTCCAAACTCTAAAGGCTCTTTTCTATTGTACTGACAAGCTCCAATTTAATGACAGTGATTGTGTTAATTTCCTGAGGTTGCCATAACAAATTACCATAAACTTCATGTCTTAAAACAACAGAGCTAGACTGCTAGAATCAAGGTGTCAACAGGGCTGCACTCCCTCCCTGGGCTCCCAGGGCAGGATCTGCTCCTTGCTGCTTCCAGCTTCTGCTGTCTCCTTGAGTTTCTGGGCTTGTGATTGCATCACTCTGTTCCCCATCTCTGCGTTTGCACAGCTTTCTCCTTCAGAATTTGTCAAATTTCCCCACTGCCTAACTATTACAAGAACATGTACTTGTCTACGCATTTAGGGGCCATGTGGTGAATCAGGATGATCCCTTCATCACAACATCTGTAACTTAATTACATGTGCAAATACCCTTTTTCCAAATAAGATCATGTTCACAGGTTCTAGAGATCTTGACATGGAGATACCTTTTGGGGGTGGAGGGGTGACCATCCAATCTACTACAGTGATTTGAAAAGACTTTAACATTTGTGATAAATCTTTCTGGGGCATAATATACCATTTCAGTTATTTAACAAATAATTCTTGAGTGCCTACAAAGTGCTGGGAATTTTTCAAGGCTTTTTAATCAATAAAAATGCAAATGTCTTTGACACACCAATTTTACTGCTTTGTCGATACGCTTATAAAAGATCTACAGGATTTATTTAGGTGTTTGCTTATGGTAGCACTGTTTGTAAGAGAAAAACAACTTGAATTGAGATGTGTGCCAGCTGCCTCATCACCCACGTAAGATGGATGCCGGCGGCCTCACACCCCCACCGGGAAGGAAGAAGGGGAAAAAGAGGTAAATGAAATGATGCCAAGTACCATTACTGTTAAATTGGTCTGGATTGGGCCGGAACAGGACAAGTTAGGAACGGATGGGCCAAGAATTGTCATCATGAGAGTTAATGAGCTAAGTGTGGTGACAAATTGTTTTATTTATCCATTAGTTGCTAGATCTGCATTATGTTAGCTTATTGTTATCTAACTGCCCTTTATGTTACCTATGGACTAAACTGCTAACTTGCAAGGTTTGTTTCTGTTCTGTAAAAGGGTCATCGTGACCCTGTGCTCACTTTTGCTTCTTTTGCAAACTTTCTTTTTGCTTCTAACTGTAACTTGCAGCCCACCTGTTTGCCCCTGTGCCAACTTTCAAACTAGAAAAACCCCAACTTCAGACCCCTCAATGCTCTCTCACTTAGTCTGCTTTAGACTTTGCTGAGACAGCTCCGCGGTTAATAAAAGACTCCTGTTTGAAATTCTAATTTGAGTCGGTGGTCCTTATCTCCCCCCATAACAGAATCAAACCAAAGAGTCCATTAATCAGTAGACTCTGACAAATCACATCAAGTTCATGCTATGGAATGTACTGCAATGTGGCTATTAAAAAGAATTAGGCATGTATTGATAGGAAAGTGATATTATGTGGTAAATGTGGATCAACCACACGCTTATTAATATAAATAAAAAGAAACATTTGCATAGATGCATATACTTGTAAGGACATAAACTTCAGAGGGTTGTGAGAAATTGCTGTTTATAGTGATTATCTTTTTAGAGAAAGTCTAGGGGAAGAGAATGCAGAGGGGAAAGGGATATTTTTACTTTTCTTTTCACTGTTCCATGGACCAGTGATTCTCTAACCTTGCACACACATACCATTTTTACTTTTTAATAAAATAAGTAGGAATTTTTTGGCAGTGACAACTCAGGACATGCTTCTCTCTTTCTTTTTTTTTGATTTGAGACAGAATCTCATTATGTTGCCCTAGGTACAGTGCTGTGGCGTCACAGCTCACAGCAACCTCAAACTCTTGAGCTTAAGTGATTCTCTTGCCTCAGCCTCCCAAGTAGCTGAGACTGCATGTGCCCATCACAACTCCCGGCTATTTTTTTTTTATAGTTGTTATTGTTGTTTAGCTGGTCCAGGCCGGGTTCAAACCCGCCAGCCTTGGTGTTATGAGCTGGCGCCATAACCACTGTGCTACGGGTGCTGAGCCAGGACATGCTTTTCTCTTTTTCATACATTATGCCTGAAGTTCTGGAATCCTATTAGAAATTTTCAGTTCTGCTTTGAAATCAACTTAAACCTAGATTCAGGTCTGTCAACAGCTGGGGAGACTCCTTGATTTGTATAATTATTGTAGTTTTTTCCATCTGTCTCTTTTTCTACTTTAGAAACTGCTTCTTAGGTCTCCAGGATTCAGTAGCTAAATCTCCTATTTTTGCCTCATCGTTTCCGACCCATCACATTTATTTCTACTATGTCAGAGATTTCTTTCACTTAATCTTATGGGCCACTAATTCAAGTCTCACCAGTGACCACCTTCATTTTCATCTTTCTACTGATGTTTTAAGTTTTGAAATGGTATTTTTAGTTCCAGAAAGGTGTGTGTGTGTTGGGATGCAGGTGCACACAGGTGCACATCACACAGGACTTGATGTCATCTTGCTTCTGTGTTTATTGAAGTTCTTGCCCACTTCTCCTGACAGTTTCATTTCAGTAGAGGTCTGTTCTGATTATGTTATTTCTTCTTCCTCATGGTTTTTGGCTTCCATAGACTCTTGGACCCCTGTGGGTTTCTTGTCACTTTTCTCTGTCTGTTTTGGGGCTGTAGTTGAGTTGCTACTGGTCTCTCTGACGCAGGGCTAGAGGTGTTGCTTTGTTCTCCGTGTGGATTGATGGTCCGGTGAGGAAGGCCATCACATCTGTCATGATAACAGGGCTGCCCTTGGTCTGAGTTTCAGACCCTGAGAGGCTTTATTGCATACTCTGTCAGTGCCTCCACAGGTCTTGGGGTCAGGCAAACATGGCATCCCTTTATTGGCTCAGCTCTACTGTCTGTGAGGGGGGCTTTCCAGCAAGCTTCAGCTGAAGCAATGAGGGCTTCCCTTTCCTGTCTATTCAATAAAACTTTATTTTGCTGATCCTATATTTCCTTATGGTTCATAGGGGAGAAAACCATGACAGCATTTCAATCACTCCACCCAGTCCTTGATTATATACTGTCAGGAGCTTCCCTCGCCAAGCCCAGCCCAGAGCAAAACCCTTATCTAACCTGCAAATACATGAGTCTAGCCCAGATAAGCAGAACTGCCCAACGCAGGCCACCTGGATCATCCAGCCTTTACCTG